TAACTGTTCTTGACAATCAAGGGCAAGAAAAAAGAAAAATTGGGTAAGTACTTTATTTCTTGTTTTTCATATTTATCTTTATTTATTATTATAAAAGTAACTAAAATTAAAAGTACAGATCTTTTTAAGTTATTTAAGACTAGGACAGGTAAAATAAGTAATAATAATAATAATATAATTAAATTGTTCACGAAGCACATACACAAGCAGCTCGTGGGTAACGTAATTCGATAGCGTAACGTGAGCTGCATGTTCCCCAGGTGATTTACAACTTATAATGGTGCAGATAGCAGGTACACATGATTCAAAGAGCAATACAAAGGGAAATAAAAAAAAATAAAATTTAATTATAAATAGATGTATACTGTTACTAACTTAGAACTACTTAGGATAAACGAATGTAGCTTCAGGTTACATTTTGAAGTCATTCTAGAAAGAAAAGAAGGTTAATTTAGGTTTATATCAATTTTTTTTGGTGGTCACGAGGTTGGTCGAATTGACCAATTCTGTTTTGAGATAGGGTTGAGAAAATAACATAAACTATAAGGATTTAGTGGAAAAAAAAACGTTTGAAGTGCATTTACAAGGTTTTAGGGATTACACAAAGGAAATTTGAGATTTTTGAGATGAGGAAAAGTATTTTTAATTTTAACATGACAATTACTTTGTACACTGATTATTCAAAACAAATACTGAAGATATTCATGGACAAATCTTTATTTTATTTTATTAAAAGTACTTCACTAAGAAATCTCACTTTTTGTATGTGAAAGACTGCCAAATTTCGTGAAGATATACCCAATATATATAGAGTTATAAGCATTAAATTTATGTCAACTTTAAATGAGTACAGAAGGTCACGTTACTCAGTCAAATTGACTGACCCCGTGTCAGAGGAGTTAAAGTGCTATCTGAGAGTCAGTTCTTCTTTCGTAATCTATTGTTCAGAACAGTGAAAAGCTAGAAATCTTGTATTAACCTTATTACAAAGATCTTCAAAACAAAAGAAGTGCATTGCTAAGAGCTGTGAACAGTGTGAAATCTTGTATAAACTTTATTTCAAAGATCTTATGACCAAAAGAAGCTTACTTGCATACTTGCTGTATTTTCACCCCAAACATTCCAACTGTTTTAGATGATGGTATCCACCTTCCAATCATTTCAGATGGGACAAACTTGATACTTAATGTAAGCATGTACTGGAAATAAATGAAACATTTAAGTGATTTCATATTAATTTTCTTTTGTACAGGCATAGCAGAAAGGTAGAAACAAAATCGTTATCAAGAAAAGTAATCTTTTGGGACTCAGCTTCAAGCAAAATTATTCATTTGATCTTATTAAGGGTTTCAATGATAGAATGAAAAAAAATACAAAATAGAAGAACAATAAATTTGTCAAATGGTTAACCCTCAAATTACTGACTTGTTTTTGAACCATTCACTTATCAGTGGGATCCACATACCGCATCATACTGAATAATTTTATATTTTTTTGTCTACAACATTCAGGTGTAAGGAAAAGATTAAGCAAATTGGGTAAAATCACTCATTTTTTAAGACGTAAGGGTACACAGCAGTAATTAGAAAGATTAATTTAAAAGTTGCGTGTGTGATGCATATGTTATTAGGGACTCTATAACCAACAAAGTCATGGAGCCACAAACAATTTGGTGCATAGAGTTTTTAAAAACATGTTGAAAAACTGACAGTCTGAGCCTAACTGCAAGTTGTAGGGTTCAATTTCTGAGAAAGGAAAGTTTACTAGCAAGCAATGTTCCCTCTAATTTTTTCAACCAATGTGCAAAATTAATTTTTTCATATGCACCAGTATCAAGGCAATGTGCAGATGTGCGCGACCAGTTTTTATTAAGGGCGGGGAGTATTTTTAGACCATAAACCCTACTGGATCATTAGGCTGCTTTGCAACACTACTAGTTGGTTATTTTGGCTTTAGGTCTATCGACTGCCAGGGTCATTAAGGCCATCAATATGTTGAGACTCCTCACCATTACTTAAGCAACTGTGAATATTTAAACAGTTGCTACCAATCAAATGCTTCAGAAATAAAGAGAAATATGCATAGTTTATGCAAGCCCAGGCACAACATGAATATACGTTATAAGAAATAATGTTGTGCAATGCAGGGAATGCAAAGCAAGGACAGTTACATAACAGTTCTTGCTTAATAGAGAGAAAGAGTAAAACGTTCCAGATTAAAAGTTCCAAAAGAGACATTCCCACAGTTGTGAGCACAGGTGAAGGGCGAGGCATGAGCTTGTCCTTGATAGATTGAGACCAGTAGCAGAGAAAAAGCTACATAAAAAGTTTATGTCGAAGGATGGAGTCGGAACTTTGAAGTAGGATTGATGTCAAAGGAAGTGAAAAGCAGTAGAAGTAACTAGGCTGCCAATATACTGAATCTAACTGCAACCAATCACTAGAAAGTTTTGGTTTTGGAAAAACCTAGGAGTTTGCAGAAACCATCCACTGAAGTGTCAGACCTACTTGCAAGTAGATGTGAATACTATTTGGACACTTGCAGGAATACTAAAGAAATTAGTATAAAAACTCATGTTTAAGTTGAAAAGTCAGTTCTCTTCGGAGTCTGAAAAAATCTCCTTGAAGCTGAGAAGAAGAATTCTAAGAATGCCGAAGTTCTCCTGAAAGTGGAAAAGTGAGTCCTCTCTGAAGCTGAAAGTCTGTAGAAAATGTTGAAGCTTTCAACCCTGCAACGAAGCCAAACACTATCTCAACCATGATGCAAGTTACTATTGCTATTTCTCTCAAATCGAGTAATATAGTTAAAAAGCTTATGTAAAGAGTATAATGTTAGAATAGATGGAATATGTCAGAATATCTGACTGCTAACAGTTTATTTGAGAAACTTCTTAGAATCATAGAGGAATTGATGAGAATTGTAACAGAGTTGATTAATGAGGTAACAGAATTTTGTATATGAAAGTTGTAAGTTAAAATATCTATGCTATATTCAAACTTGATGTGTTTTTTGGAACCACAGTCTCAGATTTTGTTCTTTATTCTAACTGTAAACTTCCTCAAGTTAATGACTTGTGTACTCCACTCATGACTGTATTTCTGGATTTAATATAAATCTATTGTGACTGGTGGTAAAGTCAAGATCCAACAACTAACTTACATGCCCACCCATTACATTACTGAGGGTGGGTGCAGCTAGAATAATGAAGTGCATGGTACTTGACTGGTTATTGTGCAGCCGTGCAGCTTAGAGGGAACACTGCTAGCAAATAGTGAGGAAATTTGTCCATTACATTTTCATCTTGGCATGGAAAATTATGTTATTTTTAAAGAAACTGAAAACATGAGAGGAACATCAATATAGGATTTGCTGATTTAACACTTTGTGTTTGAAGAAATTGACATCTTATACACAACTTAATACATACTAAATTTAAAAATATTATTGGTTTATTGTTGTGAGTAAAAATATTCTATGCATAAAATGTAGAAATATGATGATGTTTTTAAACAAGTACACCAGCAAGTATGAAACTCAACTCACATATGTAATGTTTAGAGTTAAAAACACCAGTCGGCTAACATGTAATTTTTACCTCCTGCAGACTGATTGACTTCTCTTGAGGTTTATCTGTGAGCCATGATCGGCTTAGTTCCAGAGCAGCCTTGCCTCGAAGAATATTTCCCTGACTAGGATGGTCTTCATAACAAAAAATCCGTAGAGTCTGTGACCACTCCAGTTCAATCACAAAGTCCTGAAATGTTGGATTTGAAAATTTAAAATACCTTCCTAAAACGGAAGCCAAGGAGCAGAAAACTTTGAAAACAGCACCGTTAACTCAAAAAAATGTGAATATTAATATAAGGTTTAATTGCAAAGAAAAACTAATGCTATACAGAAAACCGAATAAATTATGAATGATGACAAATATACTCATTCCTCTACTGAGTTGCCAAATATTTTTTACTAACCCTGTATTTGAGATAGTACAGTTAAATGTACAGTATGTTCTTAACTTTGAATAACACATGACAAAAGAACAAGACTTGTACCACATTCTGAGTACAAGCATGTGACCTCTGCTGATCAATTAATCTCCTCTGTTTACTTAACACTTTCACAATGGATTCATGTATTTAACACAACCTGGTAACCACCATGTAATTATGAAGGTATACATATTGTATCTCTGAAAATACTTAATGGAGCTTCACCAAATTTGGCAAGGTTTCAGAAGACATTACAAGTTTTTTGTAAACATAAAATCAGAAATTTAAATTAAATTTTTATGAAACATTTGTCCATTATTATAAGGAGTCAGAGTACTGACTACTTCCAGTGCGAAGTGATTTTCATGTTAACCCTTTCGAGATGGGTCACAGGTGAAAAGCCACGTCATCTCGTTTGTTGACTCGCATTTAAAATTTTACTGAATTACTATTTCATGAACTTGTGTCAATAAGTTTGGTATCAAACTGTAGATTATATTTCAAATTTTAGAACTATATATTACTCAATTTGTTAATTTAAAAGTAAATATTAAAAGAATACAGATAAACATCGATTTTTGTGTGTCATGTGGTATGTTAAATGCAACACTGGTTCAATAGTTTCATACAAATTTGAAACTCAAATTACAGATATTGACAAACTAGAATATAAAA